CACTCATGCTCCTAACATCTTTGACTGCTGCCTTGCATATTTCCACTGTACAGTTTTGCAAGACATACAGAACCCCAACTATAGGTGCCGCATTTTTCTAGATCCCCTATGAAAAGAACCCAGGAAGAATGCAAAAGATTTTGACTCTTGTCAGAAAACAAAATAGTAGCAATTATAAGTAAAATATAAAATTTAGCTTGTAAAACAATATGTTCTTGTGTGGGGGCAGAGTTATCTTTTAAAACTTCATATAAATTTTTTAGCCACGTAATCCTAACAAAACCTCTATTTTTATCCACTTCTATAAGTTCCACCCCTAAGCTCTCCATGTAAACATCATTTGTGACTTCGGTAGGACCATTGATAGCTTTTCCATCAACTCGGAGACCAAGTAACATATTCACATCTTCTAACGTTATCGTGCATTCACCTATTAGGAAGTGAAACATGTGTGTTTCTGATCTCTATTTCTCTAACAGAGCTACAACTAGGCTGGAGTCGATTTTGAGACTATTTATTTTTGCGATATGAGCAAAACCTGCTACTTTTAGATACAAGATTATTCTCGCGCTTGCTTGAACGGGAGCATGAGAATGAACTCGAAACCTTGCATTAGTCTGAAAAGATATGAAACAATATTGAACCAAGCAATTATAAACATTATTCATAGAATAGTAGAGGAAAACTTACACTAGCTTGAATGTTTTGTTGTGTTCCACGATGTTCATCGCCCATCCACAACAAAGCCATTTTGATTGAGTATAAATTTATTTGAAGAAATGCTTGAGTGTTTGTTGTTGCTATAATGCTTTGTGCTAGAAGATAAAAATGCGTGTAGAAAAAAGTTTGAGGTAAAACTGAATTTATAGATGAAGTATAAATGTTTGGAAGTATAAATGTGACTAGTAGAAGTGACATTACACTGAGTGTTCCATGGCATTGGAAATGGTTACTTGCATGAAATGCATGCAAGGCTAATAGCTAGGTCTTACGCAATGTACCTTGCATGCAAGACATTTTTCAGCACCCATCATGCACTCGCCACTTGGGTGGACGAGTTGCCATGTGAACAAGAGCATGCTCTCCCTTTGAGTGGACGAGTTCAAGGGACCTTTTTGTTCTTTTCATTTTATGTGTATGTTATACATATGCGTGTATCATATCTTGTTTGTATCATCACTCCATATTTCATTAACAAGAACATAGACTTTACACATTAAATATGTCTCAGAGAAATATAATTGTTACCTGCCACTTTAATGGTGTTGTTTCGACAAATAGTACCGTTGGATTCTCATTCAGCAACACAGATACTTACGCATTCAAAATTCATGTCAATTCTGATTTTTCCATTTCAAAGATAGAATGGAAAAAAAGTTAGAACGATGCGTTGAGGATATGATTTATTGTCTTCCATTACTTAATGGAGACGACTGTACAATTTTTTATGTGATGACGTCGATCAAGAACGGCGAAGACGTGCAGGAAATGTTTCGGTGCCACATGATGTTTGGTTAGTTACCCACAATTGAGTTGTACGTCCGACTACTAGACAATGCCAAAACATTTCTGACATAAGAGACACAATCACACCGGTATGGAATGATCCAAACATCCGACGACTAACCAACACAAAACAACCAACCTTTCATACCAAATGAGGAGGTTAGGGAAGCAAGCGATGACGATCTTCAGGAGATCAGGATGCAAGATATTTTTGGTAACAGCGATGACGAAGATGATGAAGATATAGTTGTCGCGTCTACGCAACCGATTCACGCATAACCAATAAGTTTGTATAACCCACCTGCACATATGCAAAGTATATATATGGAAAATGATGAAACAACCTCCATGTTTGGAAGTGTCATACCAAACCATATAGGTGAAGAAATAGAGATTGGGATGGAGTTTGAAAACAAGAAAACTTGCGTTTTCTCTTTGCAACACTGGCATATAACACACAATGTTGACTATAAGGTTTATTAATTTGACAATGAATGATACGTAATTAAGTGTAAGAAATAAGACTGCAGTTTTAAATGCAAAGCTTCCTTGAGAAAAAGGAACTCAAAATGGGTGATTGGTAAGCTATTTAGGCCTCACACATGCACTACCACGTCTATGGCACAAGACCACAAAAATCTCAGTTCAAAAATGATTAGCCATAGCATCAGAGAACTTGTCAACCGAGATGCTTCACTTAAGGTGAAAGTGATCATTGCCCATATTCTTGAAAAATACAGGTACATAATATCTTACAGGAAAGCATGGATCGATAAGTATAAGGCCACAAAGTCGCTCTACGGAAATTGAGAAACATCTTACAACGACCTGCCACAATGGATACTGGTAATGAAAACCTACCTTCCAGGAACCATTATAGATTTGCAAACCTTACCTGCAATTTTAAATGATGGTTCTTAACTCTCTGGAAAACGAATCTTCCATCATTTGTTTTGGGCATTTCGTCCGTGTATATGTGGCTTCGCCTACTGTAAGCCCATTGTGCAAGTAGACGAATTGTATGGTAAGTACATAGGAACTCTATTGATAGCGGTGGCATAGGATGGAAACGCAAACATTTTCCCAATAGTATTTGCATTGGTCGAAGGTGAAACAAAAGAAGCATGAAGCTTTTTCCTAAGGAACCTGAGGTTACACGTGACACCACAACCTAATTTGTGCCTAATCTATGATAGATATGAATCGGTAAAGAGTGCATATAACAATCCCGAAAACGGATGGCAACGTCCACCATCTTCACATGTCTACTACATTAGACACATTGCGCAGAACTTCATGCGCGAGATTAAGGACAAGGAACTACGCAAAAAACTTATTAACATGGGTAACAAAATACATTTCAGTTATCTTAACTATTATATCATACTTTTATTATGTTTTTCATACAATTCCTATTACAGGTTACGCATTGACGGAGCCTACATTTAACTACTATCGCAGAGAAATCAGAAGAACAAACATTAAGGCTTCAAATTGGATAGACAACATACCTAGGGAGAAGTGGGCTAAAGCATTTGACAGAGGGCAACGTTGGGGACATATGACATCTAACTTGGCAGAGGCCACGAACTCTGTACTAAAGGCAACCAGAAACCTTCCAATCACTGCTTTGGTCCAATCAACATACTATTGAATGGGTTCACTCTTTGGTAAACGAGGACACAAATGGACCAAAATGCTAGCTACAGGGAAAGTTTTCACAGATGGTTGCAACAAGGGAATGACTGATGAGGCAGCCAAGGCTAACACACACAATGTCATGCAATTTGATCGCGAAATATTCTGTTTCATGGTGCAGGAAAAAATTAATCAAAACGATGGTCGTCCAACAGGTACTTTCAGCGTTGACCTGAGGAATCGTCGGTGTGACTGTGGAAAATTTCAAGAACTTGCCTTGCTCCCACGTGATCGCAGCATGTTCTAGCATACGACATGACTACACAATTCACATTCAGAGGTCTTCACAGTTCTTAACGTATTCAAAGTCTACAAGGAAATCTTCCTGGGACTACCGCACGAGGAGAACTGACCAAAATATGAAAGTTTTACTCTATACCACGACGGTTCCATGAGAAGAATAAAAAGGGACGTCCAACCAGTACTAGGATTAGAACTGAAATGGACGACGCTGAAAAAGAAAAGAGAAGGTGTGAGATTTGCAGAGAAATAGGCCATGTGCGTAAAAAATGTTCAAATGTTGTCGGCCCGTCAAACCGACCGTCAAGATAATTTTATTTATTTTACAAAGAACTTGATTGGAAAATATTTTGCTCGCACTTGATTTCTATGTGATCCAACATTTATTTGTAATTCAAGCCAACTTTTAGATTACATCAATACTAGCAGATCACAACCATAAACTTAAAAATAAAACTCAAGAAGCTAACATACATGCTAATCAACAACAGCAACCAACACAAGTGGATCTTCGACTCTTCTGTTAACTTCGCCACTATGTGCTGAAAACATACATTGGACATTTTCATCACTTTCTATACGATCCAAGTAATACATGTACGTACCCTTCGGGCTGGCATCAGTCAACGTTAAATACGGACAACGATACTCCATTTTTTCACCGTCATGCGACGACCATCCAAATGTCGAAACCTCGTGTTAATTGCTGCAACCACGGTTCTGAAATTCCACTGTGGGTTTAGGTAAACACTGATTTTTTTTTCTTATCCATAAAAAACAAGAGCTCGGACAGACATTTTTAAAAACGGAACATTAGACACAAATTATTTGTGCTCATGCGCAATACGTCTATTTATAAAAAAAAAATTACGTTTGAACTCGGTCATTCAATGACCGAGAGTCTGTAAAAACTTAACTCCTTGGACGAATATCAATCATTCTTAAAAATACATGACAAAAAGAAAAATTAAATTATTATATCATTCACAATTTTTTTCATTCTATATAATATTATATAATAACATTAATATAATAACATGATATATAATATTGTTTTAATAATTATTTATAATTAAATTAAATATCATAATTAAATATGATATATAATAATTATTTAACATTAATATCATAATTAAATTAATATAATGAATTTTAATATTTAAAATTATTTTTTTAATTAATTAAACATAACATAAATATAAAAAACAAAAAAAAAATTGATTCAAACACGTGCTCGTCACTTAAGTGGACGAGCACCTACACTAAAATAACACTAGCATATGCTCGTCATTTGAGTGGACGAACATTTGAGTGGACGAACATGCAGTGAAAACATGACATACTGATCAATTGTTTTCAACCTAAAATATTATAGTATATAATATTTCAGAATAATCAATTAAAAATAAATCCGAAATAACTATAACTACGTGAATCAGTTTTATATTATTCACAGTAAAAACATCAAAAGAGCCTTGACTTAATAGGATCAACTCGCTTTGCGCCATTAAATTCCAACCACAGAAACAAGCTTAGCCGCGCCATAATTTTTTTGAATGCGCAGCTTTTGGAGGAAAAGCCATAACCATACCCTGCAACACCTCAAAACAATACGCGGCAACTATAATCTGAGACACTCACATGATTTCAGTTTTCAACTTCAACGTGCAAGCCAAATATCACCCAAACCCCTAATCATAGACAGAGACCCACACATTGTGAAATGTACCAATTCAATTTCTGCTCACATGCGCAATGGCCACTGCCATTTGGCTCTCCGTGTCTTCAACGCCATGCCTTACAGGAACTTGTTTTCCTGGAACTTAATGCTTACTGGGTATGTCAAAAACCGCAGACTCGGTGATGCCCGCTACTTGTTTGATTTAATGCCTCAAAAGGATGTTGTTTCATGGAATACCATGTTGTCTGGTTATGTCCGGAGTGGATGTGTTGACGAGGCTAAATTAGTTTTTGATATGATGCCTGTTAAGGATTCCATCTCTTGGAATGGGTTGCTTTCTGTGTATGTTCAGAATGGGAGACTTGAGGAGGCCCGTTGGTTGTTTGAGTCGAAGCGGGATTGGGAAGTTATTTCATGGAATTGTTTGATGGGTGGGTATGTGAAGAGGAAGATGCTAGATGATGCTAGGCAGCTTTTTGATCATATGCCTGTTAGGGATATAATCTCTTGGAATACCATGATTTCGGGTTATGCGCGGGATGGAGATTTGTTGCAAACTAGGAGATTGTTTGAGGAGTCTCCGGTACGGGATGTTTTCACGTGGACAGCAATGGTGTATGCTTATGTGCAGAATGGAATGTTGGATGAAGCGAGAAGGATTTTTGATGAAATGCCGGGAAAAAGAGAGATGACTTACAATGTGATGATTGTGGGTTACGTGCAATGCAAGAAAATGGATATGGCAAGGGAATTGTTTGAGGCAATGCCTTGTCGGAATGTGGGGTCATGGAATATCATGATCAGTGGCTATGTTCAAAACGGCGATATTGCTCAAGCTAGGAAAGTATTTGACATGATGCCTCAGCGTGATTGTGTATCTTGGGCAGCAATTATCGCTGGTTATGCTCAGACTGGTTACTGTGAAGAAGCTATGGACATGCTTGTGGAGATGAAACGGGAAGGAAAAAGTTTAAATAGATCTTCCTTTTGTTGTGCTCTGAGCACAAGTGCTGATATGGCTTCTTTGGTGTTAGGGAAACAAGTTCATGGGCAGGTGGTGAAGACAGGGTATGATAATGGGTGTTTGGTGGGAAATGCACTTCTTGAAATGTATTGTAAATGTGGCAGCATAGGTGAAGCCTATGATGTGTTTGAAAGAATACAGCAGAAAGATATCATCTCTTGGAACACAATGTTAGCTGGTTATGCTAGGCATGGATTTGGCGGACAGGCTTTATTGGTGTTTGATTCAATGAAGATAGCAGGTTTTAAACCTGACGAAATTACCATGGTATGTATTTGGTTTTTATTTATAAATAAATTCCATATGTTAGAATGAATGCTCCTTTTATCAATGGATGAACTATGGTCCTCAAAGCTTCATACTTCACTTTATTGTATTTTCATTTTGACATCACTGGTTTACAACTTAGTTTTCTGATTTAATTTTTCCTGGTTGTTATGGTCAAATAAGCTCCTCAGGGAAGCCAGAAATACCTGGGTTCCTGCTAGTCTCTTGAATCTAATTTCATTACATTTTCTGTGAAGGGTACAAAAGCTTATTCTTTTCTAGCTATCTGTTTATTTTGTCCCGCTAATTTACTTTTTGTTATTGCATCATCTGATTTAATGGTTTGTTTAGGCAGTTATTTTGGATTTATTTCAGGATGAATTTATCTGAGCAAGAACTAAAGAAAGGAAAAGAGAGAGAATAGATCAAGAAAGAAGAGAGAAAGTGAAGAGAAACTAATGTATTAAATGATTCTACCTTGTTAAAGATTGTGAAAAATAGAAATAAGAAATATAGAAATAAGAAATTTTTTAAATGTGCTTGAGTGTATAAAACACTCAGCAACTATGGTATTTATACACACTATATAGTTAATTCATATTATGTTTATAAAGAGAAATAAATAGTAGTCCAACTTCTTAAATGCATGAATTTAAATATATATGAATTTAAAACTTAAATGCTCATTTTAGTAGGAAGCATACAATGTATTTTTTCTATTTCCAACACTCCTTCTCAAGCTGGTGAATAAGTATTCTCCATTCAAAATTTGAACTATTTAATCCTTTAGTGAGAATATCTGCAAGTTGCTCTTGTGAGGACACAAATAGGGTGCAAATCAGCCCACTGTCAAGCTTCTCTTTGATGAAGTGTCTATCAACCTCAATATGCTTAGTTCAATCATGTTGAACTGGATTATGTGCTATACTGATAGTTGATTTATTATCACAGTAGAGTTTCATGGGTCCTTTCCATTTGATTTTCAATTCTTCTAAAATAATTTTGAGCCAAAGTAATTCACAAATGTCTTGTGCCATGACTCGAAATTCAGTTTCAGCACTAGAACGTGCTACTACATTTTGCTTCTAACTCCTCCGAGTCACAAGATTTCCTCCAAGAAAGGTGCAGTACCCTATAGTGGATCTTCTATCAACAATTGAACCTGCATAATCTGCATCAGTATAGGCCTCAAGGGTTGTCTTTCCATTTCTTTTGAACAAAATTCTTCTTTTTGGAGTTTCCTTGAGATACTACAGAATTCTATGAACAACTTGTAAATGGACTTCTTTAAGACAGTGCATGAACTGACTAACCATACTTACAGTATATGCAATATCGGGTATAGTGTGGGACGAGTAAATTAATCTCCCAACTAGACGTTGATACATTTCTTTATCTACTGCAACATCTTCTGTATTACCCAGTTTAAGATTTAGATCCATAGGAACGCTCGTAGGTTTACACGTTCTTTTTCCTGTCTCTTTGAATAAATCTGTAATGTATTTTTATTGAGATATAAAAATGCCTTTTCGGGAATGTGCCACCTCAATTTCCAAAAAGTACTTTAACTTTCCAAGACTTTTTATTTCAAACTCCTTAGCCAAAGAAATGACTTAAGATTTGTTGCTCCTTCCAATCATCTCGTGTCATTATAATGTCATCTACATATACTAACAAAATTGTTACTCCGCCTTGTGGTGAGTGTTTAATGAACAAGGTGTGATCCCCTTGACTTTGCTTGTACCCTAAAGATGTCACAACCGTGAACCTTCCAAATCATGCTCGAGGTGATTGTTTTAGTCCATATAACGCATTTTTCAATCTGCAAATTGTATTGTCAGACACATTTTTTTCATACCCCGGTGGTACCTGCATATAAATCTCCTCTTCGAGTTCCCCATGTAAGAAGACATTCTTCACATCAAATTGTTGTAAATCCCAACCATAATTGGTAGCAAGTGACAAAATTACTCTCACTGTATTCATCTTCGCAACTGGAGAAAATGTCTCTGAATAGTCAATTCCATAGGTTTGTGTAAACCCTTTGGCAACCAACCTCCTTTATATCTTTCGATTGATCCATCAGCCTTATATTTTACTGTGTACACTCATTTGCATCCAACTGGCCTCTTTCCTTCTGGTAAAGTCACTAACTCCCAAGTTTCATTCCTCTTCAATGCGTCCATCTCGATATTCATGGCTTGCTTCCATTTTTCATCAGACAATGCCTCAGAAATGTTAATGGGTATGGAAGTAGCGTTTAGGTTATTAAGGAAGGGCTCTACGAGTCAGTGAGAATTTTTTAAAAGAAAGATAGTTTGAAAGGGGATATAAAGGTTGTTTAGTGCATTTTTTGGTACCTTTTCTAATAGCAATCAGAAGTTCTAGGTCATCATCTGTAGTTTGCATCATCATTTTATCTTGTAATTCAGAAGAATTAGTTGCCTCATTTGAAGGAGTCAAGTCAGACTCTTGAACTTGTATCGATTCAGGAATGACCTTTGACTTTCTCATGTAAACCAAATTCTTTCTATATCTTACATCCACTTCAGGTCCAAGTTCAGCTACTGGTGTATTTGATTGATTTGACACAACTCTTACTTCTTCAGCCTCAGATGGGTCTGGTACAAGTGTGTTTAACTCAAGACCAGAAAGATTGAACCTATTTGACTCCAAACTGGAAGAATTAGGTGGATTTGACTTGAGACCAGAGAGATTGAGTGTGTTCGAGTCATGACCAGAATGAGAAATCGAGTATATTTGCGTCATGACCAGAATGATCATATGCATTTGACTTAATACTAGACAAATTAAATGTATTTGACCCAAGACCAGAAAGATTGAGACTTTCAAGGTTATTTTCCTTAAAATTCTCCCCCTTAAGATAAGGTTGAGTGAAGTACAGTTCCTCCTCATGAAAGGTAACATTCCGCGACACAAAAAACTTTTTAGATGGAGGATAGAAACACTTATATCCCTTTTGAGTAGAGGAATACCCGACAAAAACACATCTTAGGCCTCTAGGGTCAAGTTTTTTTTTTCTGTCTTGACTATGCACATGGACAAATGAGACACACTAAAAAATTCTAGGTTTAAGATTACTACTTACTGACAAATTTGGATAGAAGGAAGAAAGAACATCCATTAATAAGATATGTGCTAGTGAGAACGGCCTCCCCCATAAATATTTTGGAACATTTTGATGAAACAACATTGCTTGGGTTTGGTCTAATAGATGCCCATTTTTTCTTTCTGCAATTTCATTTTGCTGTGGTGTTTTAACACAAGAAGACTCATGGACAATTCCCTCTTTTTGACAGAAAGAAGTAAGAACATGATTGAAGTACTCTTTTCCATTATCAGACCTAAGCCTTTTGATGTTTACTCCAGATTGATTTTTACTCATGTAGAAAAACACTGAGAAAACAGTACTGACGTCAGACTTGTTTTGGAGTAAAAACACCCAAGTAACTCGGGTACAATCGTCTATAAAAGTAACAAACCACCTAGCACCTGTTATATATGGATTGGTAGAGGGACCCTAAACATCTGAATGAATAAGATAGAAGAGGGAAAGACTTCTTTTGTTGTTTAATGGAAAAGGTAGACGCTTATGTTTAGCAACCTTGCACACATTACAATGAAGACTTTCAATATCTACCTTATTGAATAAAGATGGAAACAAAACTTCAATAACTCCAAAAGAAGGATGACCTAATCGACAATGAAAAAGAAAGATTTTTTCCTTTTTAGAGAGTACTGACTCTGACATAAATGAGTGGGACAAGTGGACTTTTGTACTCTGACCTGATTCTTTAAGATAGTAAAGGTCATTCCTTTCTCTAGCACGTCCAATTGTCTTTCCCGACTCCTTATCTTGAAATATACAACAATCATTATGAAAAGTCACACTGCAGGATAAATCGTTTGTATGTTTTTGTATGGAGACTAGGTTCATGGATAGTTTTGGATCATGGAGGACACTTTTTAGGGTTATAGAATGATTTATTTGGATATCTCAAATGCCAACTATAGTTACAAGAGTACCATCTGCAATAGAAATTTTTTTATTACTTGGACAAGGGGAATATGTGGAGAACTTTTTCGAAGAGGGTGTCATGTGGTCTGTGGCTCCTGAATCTAATATTCAAAATAAGTAAGAAGGTGTTTCTGAGACATGAAATCCAAATGAGAGTGGAAGCTTACCAGAATGCGCCACACTGCAATTATCTGATGACCTTTCTATGATATTGGTCATAAAGGTAACAAAAGCAACCACCAAATATTTATGTATAAGATATCAAAGAAAACAAGATTTGATAAAAAAATAAACCCAGAAAATGTAGGGACAATGTCTGGTACTATGCACACGGCTGCTAAAAAAGTGCAGAGTTGTATCGACGGTGGTAGAAAACTGTACGAACGGCTTCTGAAAAGTATAGAGACAACAGCTGGACAGACAGCTACCGGAAGAAGTACGAAATTATGCAAATGGAGGGTAGAAAGAACAAACAATATTTAATTGGAAAAACTTGACAACAAGTGTTGTCCAGTCAAGATTTAAGGGTTCTGACAGCATAAAAATGCTCAGTCAGATCTCTAAATAATGATTAGTAGAAGTAAAGTCCCCTAGATTAGGAGCTCTGATGCCATGTGAAAAATAGAAATAAGAAATTTTCTGAATGTACTTGAGTGAATAAAACACTCAGCAACTGTGATATTTATACACACTATATAATTAATTACATATTATGTTTACAAGAAGAAATAAATAATAGTCTAACTTCCTAAATGCATGAATCTAAATACAACCTAAGACTTAAATGCTCATTTTAGTGGAAAACATACAATATACTTTTTCTATTTCCAACAAAGATAATACATGACATTAGTATTTATACTACTTGACTATATAACTGATTTTTTTAAACATCTGACTGAGCTTAACTAATTGCTATTCCATAGACAGAATTTGACTGGTTTAGTTTTTTTTTTCTTTTTCTTTTGAATGCCATATATACATATAAAATGTTGTGTACTATTAATTACATGCCAATGAGAACAATTCAGATTTCTTCTCATACTGTATATCATCACAATAATATTACAAATTTGTTAGTTTTGGTAGAACAAGATACCACTTCTCCACCACTTCTCTCAGTTGTCTACCATTATGTGAATAAATAATGTTGAATCCCCTTATTTAGCTCGGAAGCATATATGCTGAGGGTGTATGCTTTTAAATTTGTTGAACACGGAATATTTTATTAAGGGTGCACAATCAAGAAAAAGGAGTAGACCATATATTTCAATAAGCTTTCTGTTTCGGGTTAGAGACAGAGGAATAAATAACATTTTACAAGGGGCACTTTGGTTTAGAAGTGGAATGTGGTAGGGTCTGTATTCACATTTCTTTTCTTGTATCTTTGTAATACTGAGCTAGCGACTGTAGGTCTCTTCAATGAAATATGATTGAGATCTATCAGTGTCACTTTCCTCCTCATCATAGTTTTAGCATATATGAATAGACTGCATGCTTGCTTTTTTTCCCCTGCCCTTGACTTTTGTCATTATATTTGACATATATAGGAAAATTCAGTCAGAAATACTCCATGTGCTAATGCAGGCAAAAAGTTCAATTTCTAAGGATAATGTCATATGTGTGATGAGTCACTTAGCTTTATTTCTCTAATAAGTTTCAAATAGGTGTTCCCTGCATCGAATAGAGTCATGCATTTTACACTTTGTTTTCGTCCTCAGTTTGGTATATTCATTTCTAAAGTAATCCCATTATGTTGCTAGAGTTTTCTTTACAATGTGTAAAATGCAAATGAGCTAATAGCTGCGTAATCATAAACAAATATGATCACCATAACAAAACATTGACAAATAAACTAGAATGGATTGAGGTGTGTGTAATCATAAACAAATATGATCACCATAACAAAACATTGACAAATAAACTAGAATGGATAGAGGTGTCCGATTTATCATTTTACCAAAACAATATAATAGTTTACCTTTTGACTCTTATCTACATGCAACATCATTCTGCTTATTCTTTTTCTAATCATGTTTCAGGTTGGTGTTCTTTCGGCTTGCAGTCATACTGGCATGACTGATAGGGGAATTGAATATTTTTATGCAATGAATAAAGATTATGGTATAACACCAAATTTAAAACATTATAACTGCATGATTGATCTTCTTGGTAGAGCTGGCCGCCTGGATGAAGCACATAACTTAATGAAAAACATGCCTTTTGAACCAGACGCTGCAACCTGGGGAGCTCTACTCGGTGCAAGCCGGATTCATGGCTATACTGAACTGGGTGAGAAGGCTGCTGAGATGCTTTTTAATATGGAACCCCATAATGCGGGAATGTATGTCCTTCTTTCAAATTTATATGCAGGTTTAGGCAAATGGGTTGATGTTGGCAAGCTTAGATTAAAAATGAGACAACTTGGTATTCAGAAAATACCCGGGTATAGTTGGGTTGAGGTACAAAATAAGATTCATACATTCACAGTTGGTGATTGTTTGCACCCGGAAAAAGATAGAATCTACGCTTACTTAGAAGAGTTAGATCTAAAACTGAAGCATGAGGGGCATGTTCCTTTGGTAAAATTGGTTCTACACGATGTGGAAGAGGAAGAGAAGAAGCGAATGCTCAAGTATCACAGTGAGAAATTAGCTGTGGCATTTGGAATTTTGACCATACCTGATGGTAGACCGTTACGTGTCATGAAAAACTTGCGCATGTGTGAAGACTGTCATAATGCCATCAAGCACATATCTAAAATTGTTGGAAGATTGATAATCTTAAGGGATTCTCATCGCTTTCATTACTTCAGTGAGGGTATTTGTTCTTGTGGAGATTATTGGTGAATGGAGAAGATGTATATCTTCTAACTGGCATACCACTATGAGTGGGGGCCAGTTGACTTGGTAATGGTAAATCAATATTATTCTTGTTTGAGTGATAGTTGTCGTCTGGGAATATTGTTTTGAAATAATCTCCGCGGCCTATTCTGGAAGAACAGGAGCTTGCCTTTGTGCTAGATTTTGTGAAAGCTGAGGGTCAGTGAGATGTATGCGTCTCATGGATTTTATCCCTAGTTGGTTACTGAAGGAGATTATAGCGTGCGCTTGCGCCTCCTTTGGGTAGGTTGGAGGGTGACTGTTTTAGGCTTTTAGCATGGAAAGTTACTCTACTGGCATGTTTAGCACGAAATCTGCCTACCAACTGGTTCAAGGTCATGTTAATCAGGTGCGTGGTGATCAAGTTTGGAAGAAGCTTTGGCACTGGAATGGCCATCCTAAAGAGAACGTTTCTGTCAGAAAAATCTGCATCATGGCCTCCCGACAAATTCATTCCGAGCTTGTAGATGCATGACTGATGGTAACCTCTGTCATTTATGTGCTCAGTGCTGGTGGCGAGGAATTGGAGAATGTATCTTCAAGATTGCAGGGTTGTTAATGCTAAAAGGTTTTATCTCTAATGTTGATATCCATGCTCATAAAAAGCATGTGTAAAATAAAATTCGTTGAGAATAAATTTGTTCAAGAAAATATATTGTATAGTACCGACGACATAATTGTGGTGTTGTAAGAAAAATAAAATCCTTGCAGTGTGGTATAGTACTTTATTTCTATTATTATGATGATGCTGGAATCTATATGGAGCTACAATATAAAACCGATAATAATACTATTGGACTATGCAAATAGAATGGAGTGTTCATAAGATAAATGGTTTGGGCATTACTTTATCACCGATATTTCGAAAATGCACCTTAAATGCCCGTAGCGCTCCATAAATGAGTTATTCATCCCCATATTTGTCAAAAATGAGTTTGGAAATATATCTCTATAATTTTGTAGAGTGTGTCTGTAAGTACATTTTCAAATTAACCTCAATCTTCAGTTAGAGTTGATGGAAATGGTGTTTTTATATAGCTCAGAAGGTATTCCAGAAGTGCATTTTTAGAAAATATCAGTCATAACAACAAGTTTGTTCTGAAATTGATACTTTTTTTAGGCGAGCTTATATTTTAGGCCATTTATATTAAGATATCATAACACCATGCTAATATACTAATGTAATTCAAGGATGTCATATATAAATTCATACAATAATATAAATCCAAATATTAATTAATTAATCAAAAACGTGACCACGATACATAATTTGTTTAGAAAATACAAATATTACAACAGTTACCAAAATACAAACAAAAAAACTAATGTGTATATCAAACTCCCTTTATTTCTCCTTTACTGCTTGCATGTGCTGTAAGGTATTTTGTGTCTCGTCTAAAATGACATGTACGGTGGCCATATCAAAACTGCTTTCCTCAAAATATCCTCTCTCATCTCTCGCAAGCGTCGCAATACGCTGACAGACAAGCATCGCGTCTTGGGCGTGGTAATTCCTAGTTTGCTCATCTTCTAATATCTCCTGATGAGTTGGCATAGGTGGTGCTCCCGCAACATCTGGTGTCATGTAAAATGTGACACATTATAGAACAATCGCATTTACTCGAATGGAGCAACCCATAGATCACCACCCGACACACTGTGTGCATCATGGTACTAGATGATTATATAGATCATTGAGTATGACATCAATACCTCTGCGGCACATTGCCGGAGGAATAGACACCGAGGGAGGGGTCTTGGAATAAACAAAAGAAATCTGAATTGGTGCATGACCCACTCAGAAAGATGTGGATACATCATACGCGACCCACAAGCCAACCATTTAGAGTAGAATGCCATGTTATCCAAGGGACGCATTTGACAGTGATCGTCATATAGACGGTAGAATATGTCATCTGCTACATTGCATCAATAAATACTCATAATAACTTTAACGCCAGATTCCCTTTGACCGAGATATAAGAGCAAGCACGCGACCAATCCTCAGTGTAGTTATCATCAAGTTTCCAGTCAGATATGCAAGAAAGTGACATATGATCCGTGTTTGAAAATGATTAAGATAAAATATTAGTAACAATGAAAGTGCAAATATATTACCGTAAACAACACACAACTTTCTGTCAATTATCTTGTCTTCCAAAGACATGTTTCACCTAACTTTGAGTACAAATAAACAGAACATGTGGTCCCTCGGTTCCACTCGTGGATCTGTTCTAAGTTAATGAAGTATGGCAAGTACATTACACTGATATAGGTTGTACTTTTACCCACAAATATGGTTATGCCAACCAAATACATGAGGTATGACCTTAATGCACATTGTATGTGGTACAAATGGCATCCACCGCCACATCCATGTGGTATTTGTGCAACTACTCCAAATATGAAAATCTAGCATGAGCTCCTCTGTGACATTAGTCTCTATTTGGAATTCACTTGGGTCAGCTCCCAAATACGCAATCGTCATTTCTAGTGCCCCGACTCTAGAGATTCTGGAGTAGTTTATTAATCTTCTTCTGATCTAAAGATGTAGGAGACATGAGACGTCATCAAAGGTGATGTACATCTCACCAATTGAAATTATAAAAAGATGACGTCTCCTTGTGCCATCACTCCACAAAAGCCGCAAACATGATATGGTTAATGGTCTTGTATCCATTCATTCATAAACCTTGCACCCCATATAGATGCAATACATCATAAAACCATGTCTCTTTTTCTACAAAATAGTGGCATCGTTTGTGGGAATTATCATTTGGTTCTATCAAATTCCTATTTGACTCTCAATTTTCCTCAATTGCACCGCACAACCATTTTTCAATTACCAATTCGAGCAATCGTAACTGCCTTTTCTTCAAGACAACGCTTCACTGGTTCTTTCTCTCATCAATGGAGATCCTAATACTTCAACAATGATACCTCAATCGTCCATTCAAGAAAATCGTCAAGTTCCTTCACACAAAAAATCAGGTTCCTCCACCTCACATTTTGCTTCCTCCACTGCAACCTCATTTTTCTCTTCTATACCCTAACATTTTGGTTTCCCCGTTGTTAAGAGCTCAAGAGTTACCAATGAGGTGTCACCCTCCTCGTCGTGACAATAATTCACCTTCGAGATCTATTCAGCGCATCAACGAGCTATAGTTGAACAATTTCAACATACTACAACAACAAAATGTGAGGCTTTTTAGTGTAGAAGAAAACTAGAATAAGATTGCAACTGTATTAGATGTTTTTCAACGCAACCACATTGCATCTATATCCGGTGGATGTGCTTGTTGGGGGTTGATTCGCAATCATTAGGAGATTAAGAGACACCAATGAGGTGTTGAACATTTGAATAGATAAATAACTGTACAAAATTATAACCACAAGCTGGTTTGCCCGAGAGGTTAAGGGGGAAGACTTAAGATCTTCTGCACATAAGTGCGCGTGGGTTCAAACCCCACAGCCAGCATAAAATTTTTCGGAAAAATAAACCATCAGATCTTCTTCGTTATTTTCTTCCCTTTCCGCATCTATTGCAGCTTGGATTTCCTCCGAGTACCTCTCGTCGTAGCCTTCCATTTCCTCACCATAAAAATAAGGGATCATTGCTCTGCCTGAATAGTGCGCAAAAATTGCAAAGGCGAAAGCGGCAAATATTTGCCCCGCATAATTTCGTAATTGTAGGAGAATGTATTTATCAAATCTCATCGTTATCTTAGATTTGATCGAATTTTTTTTCTTGAACCAGACTAATACCAATCCAACACATTGCATTAAAAAGATGTGACCAATTACCCACCCAACAAAACTACTTGTTAAGAATAACAATTTATTGTTGGATCGAAACAGATAAATGTTCATTAATCTTATTAAGATTGAAAGACCCCGACATCCTTAAATGTTTCTCATTTTTACATTTATTTTATTTTGTTATTTTTCTCATTTTTACATTTATTTTCACTAGCAGCAATGTTTCGTATATGCAACATGCGGCGTGTTGTTATTGTTGGAAGACACAGACACCTGAAACTCAGTACAAGTACGAGGAAGAGAGAGAGCATAACCAACAACAGTTCAAACGTGAAAGACCCCGACATCCTTAAATGGAACAAAACTATTTCTACTTACATGCGCAATGGCAACTGTGACTCTGCTCTACATGTCTTCAACACCATGCCTCGTCGAAGCTCTGTCTCCTACAATGCCATGATATCTGGTTACTTGAGGAACTCCAAGTTTAACCTTGCGCGGGAGCTGTTTGATCAAATGCCTGAAAGAGACTTGTTTTCATGGAATGTAATGCTTACTGGCTATGTTAGAAACCGCAGACTCGGTGATGCCCGTAGATTGTTTGATTTAATGCCTGACAAGGATGTTGTTTCCTGGAATTCTTTGTTGTCTGGGTATGCTCAGAATGGGTATGTTGATGAGGCAAGGGAGGTTTTTGATAATATGCCTGAGAAAAATTCCATCTCTTGGAATGGTCTGCTTGCTGCTTATGTTCATAATGGCAGAATGGAGGAGGCTTGTCGGTTGTTTGAGTCCAAATCGGATTGGGAATTGATTTCTTGGAACTGTTTGATGGGTGGGTTTGTTAGAAGAAAGAAGATAGGTGATGCTAGGCGACTTTTTGACAAAATGCCTTTTAGGGATGCAATTACCTGGAATACTATGATTTCTGGCTATGCCCAGGTTGGAGATTTGTCGCAGGCTAGACGATTGTTTGATGAATCTCCATCACGAGACGTGTTCACGTGGACGGCTATGGTGTCTGGGTATGTGCAGAATGGAATGCTTGATGAAGCTAGAATATTTTTTGATGATATGCCTCAGAAAAATGAAGTTTCATACAATGCGATGATTGCTGGTTATGTGCAATCCAAGAAAATGGATATTGCTAGGGAGTTGTTTGAGGCTATGCCTTGTCGGAATATAAGTTCGTGGAATACTATGATTACAGGCTACTGTCAGAATGGAGACATTGCTCAGGCTAGAAAATTGTTTGATATGATGCCTCAGCGTGACTGTGTATCTTGGGCGGCTATTATTGCTGGTTATGCTCAAAGCGGGCACTATGAAGAGGCGCTGAACATGTTTGTAGAGATAAAACGAGATGGAGAAAGTTTAAATAGGGCTACATTTGGTTGTGCTTTGAGCACGTGTGCTGATCTTGCTGCGTTGGAGTTGGGGAAACAAATTCATGGGCAGGCGGTGAAGACGGGGTATGAAACTGGGTGTTTTGTGGGGAATGCGCTTCTTGCAATGTATTTTAAATGTGGCAGCATAGACGAAGCTAATGATGCTTTTGAAGGAATAGAGGAGAAAGATGTCGTCTCTTGGAACACGATGTTAGCTGGTTATGCCAGACATGGATTTGGCAGACAAGCTTTAATGATATTTGAGTCAATGAAGACGGCAGGTGTTAAGCCTGACGAGGTTACCATGGTATGTATAGTTTATACATTTCATATGTGTGTAGGTTTTTATTTAGAGTTTATCTTTAGCATGACTGTCTACTTATTTTACATATACTACTTATCTTTAGTTATGTGGAAGTGTGAAAAACGGGTTCTTCATATTTTACATAACTACATTCATTTTATAGATAGCTGGTTTACAAATTAATTTTTTGATTGAATTGCTGTCGGTGAATATGATCAAAACATCTTCTAGGGAAATACCTGGTTGCTACATGTAATATTACACTCTGCTTATTGTTTTTTTTTAATCATGTTTCAGGTTGGTGTTCTCTCTGCCTGTAGTCATACTGGCTTGCTAGACAGGGGAACTGAATACTTCTATTCGATGAATAAAGATTACGGTGTAACACCAACTTCAAAACATTATACTTGCATGATTGATCTTCTCGGAAGAGCGGGCCGCTTGGAGGAAGCACAGGACTTAATGAGAAACATGCCTTTTGAGCCAGGTGCTGCTTCATGGGGAGCTCTACTTGGTGCAAGCCGGATTCACGGCAATACTGAACTGGGGGAGAAGGCTGCTGAGATGGTTTTTAAGATGGAGCCTCAGAACTCGGGAATGTATGTCCTTCTTTCAAATCTATATGCAGCTTCAGGCAGATGGGTAGATGCTGATAATATGAGGTTGAAGATGAGGAATGTTGGTGTACAGAAAGTACCTGGCTATAGTTGGGTTGAGGTGCAAAACAAGATTCATACGTTTTCAGTTGGGGATTGTTTCCATCCAGAGAAAGAGAGAATATATGGTTTCTTAGAAGAGCTGGATCTAAAAATGAGGGAAGAGGGATATGTTTCTTCAACAAAATTGGTTCTGCATGATGTGGAAGAGGAAGAGAAGGAGCATATGCTCAAGTATCACAGTGAAAAGTTAGCTGTAGCATTCGGAATTCTAACCATACCAGCTGGCAGACCAATACGTGTCATGAAAAACTTGCGTGTGTGTGAAGACTGTCATAGTGCCATCAAGCACATATCCAAAATTGTTGGAAGGTTGATAATCTTAAGAGATTCTCACCGCTTTCACCACTTCAACGAGGGTATTTGTTCTTGTGGAGATTATTGGTAAAATGGAGAGATCACGGATATAGTAAAAATTAATATTTTCTGGGCCTATTATAGTCATTGAAGAAGTGCTGATAGCAGTGAGGAGTGCAGTCATATCCTGCCGCTAGGTAATGGAATTAATGCCCGTGTGATATGAGGTGCTTGGAAAATCTGAGTTTCTAACTCAGACTGCTTCATACTGACCAAGAATTGGAAAATCTGAGTTTCTAACTCAGACTGCTTCATTCTGACCAAGAAGCGCGGTATCATCTGATGAAAGTTTGAATTCGATATATATCTTTGAATTATATAAGAGAACGCAAATCACTGAAATTAAAAAGATAGCATGGAATGTATGAAGGGAAAGCTGAATTATAGACAGCTATAGAGATGCTCTTCATAAAGTTTTGGCAACTTGTCAAAGTCCTTGTACACAAGATAGGCAATAGGAAAATGGGTGCAACAGAAACTTTTAACAAACCTATGTTGCTTGCTACTCATTGATTGCATCCCTTACAATATTATGAAATTTTTTCTTATGTATTTGAATTCATTGCAGTAATCCTGTTTTGTATTTTACCCAAACAAAAAATACCGTCCGAAAATCTTCCAGGGATGACATAATCGTGTTACACATGGTTCTTATTAGTGATTTTACCAATGCCAAAATGTACATACTAGCAGGTGAATAACAATGTTTTGTTCATTAATAATAATGAGAAGGAAATGCTGTGACAGAATGTTCATCCTTGTTTCAAAATATATCAGTAGTATACATTGTGTTTTGGTACACACAAATTTATCCTAATTACAGAACCTACTGCGGTATTACAAAATGACATTTCATGACAATGAGTTCCCATGTTAGCTTCTAGCACAAACAACTGGAAGAATTTCTATGCAATGCTTCAAAATCATAATTAAACTAGAATTAAGCATGCAGGGCAGCCAGGTTATCTGTCAATTCGTCTGCTGAGTCGTCATTGACCTCTATAATTGGTTCCTGCAAATAGAAGAAATGCATTTTATGAGTAGGAATTTGAATGTACACTGCAGAGATGAACATAAATGTCTATTGTGCAGTCGCAAATAAAAATTCAGATAATGTGTTCAGAATTGAGAATAAACATATTGTGCAGTCACATAAATTCAGATTGATGTTTTTCAGAATTGACAATAATCATAAGACGTTGCATATTAGGTTTAAAGATTTACTGCATATTTTCCCTCTTTCACAAATTTGTTTGCTGCATAATTGTAATTTTCTTTAGTGTAGTTTGATTTTTACTCCAAAGTTCATAAAAGTCCATTCTTTATTTTAAATTTAGAGAATTGTGCTTTTATATACATTATGTTTTATGAACTTATAAATATCCTCGGTGTATCCTATCTTATATTTTGGAAAAAAAAATGATCATTATGATATCATCATCATATCCAAACAGATGCCCATACTATACCCGTGCACAACACCATTTTGAAACCATTTTTTGGATATTCTTATTACTGCATAACTTAAGATAAGAGCTTCCAATTTGATAAGATAGAGATAACTACCTCTGGATCTTTACTTCTTTTCACATCTATACACTTTGACGCACTAATGCTGGCGCTCTTCAACAAGCTACGTGGACTCTGAAGATTTGGTCCAGTCTGAGTCGGCATTTCAATATCGTTGTTTTCATTATTTTCATTCTTGGAAGTATGAACTCGCTCTCTGCAAAAAGTGAAATTGCAATGCTCAATGCATATGACTCAAACAAGAGAATATGTTTCAGAGGCATGTTGCCAAAAAAAGCCGCAAAAATCCCCTATTTAAACAGGTTCGCCTTGCTTGGACCAAAACAATTGAACTGCTAAGGCAAAAAATTGTTCACAGAAATATTGACAAATATTTACCTAGGTAAGGAGGCATGCTGTCTCTGCAATGGTGAGCTTCGGTCGCCTTTGCCTTTGCCATTGCCATAATGTTCCTCAAGATGTGCAAACTGCCGCTTGAATCGATCAACCCCGCTATACAACAACATAGAATTACTAACTAATAACCAATAGGTGTAAATTTTGAGTTTTAAAGAAGCCACTATGCATATTAATTCTTGGATGACATACAAAACACAAAATTAACAGTCAGTAATTTGATGCAGGCAAAATTTTATCTGTTACAAGGATGAGCATCAACAAAAGTTTGAGTCGCAATAAAATTGCAAAATAACTCAATTTAAAATTTTACAAAAAATGGATGCTTTATAGTCTCAATGCACATCTGCTTTAATATATGTACTTATCAAGCCTTCAACAAATCACCAAGTATATTTACCTTGGATACATGAAGCTGGTTTGATCTCCACCACTAAGATATTCGTCAAGCATCTGGGGATGATACTCCAAAATCTGTGTACGTTCCGTATAATTAACTATTACAACGTAAAGGGGATGAAACTATTTGAAGCAAGGATGAGTAAAATGCATGGTCATACCTCTCGATAAATCAATTCTCTGACATCATCTTTAGTCAATTTCCTTCTCTCGAATTCAAACTCAAGTTTTGAAATGGGATGAGTGGATGGCTCGCGATCAATGTTTGATAAGCCATGGAAATAAGGATCAGACAAAGCCTGATATCACAAGTATAACAGAAATAATGAAATTTCCCCTTTGTTAATCATCAAAAAAAAAATTCTTAAGGTAATCATATGCATGTTATAGAGACCAACCTCTTCAGCTGATGGACGGTTTTTAGGATCAAATGCAAGTAAGCGCTCCAGTATACGTAGAGCCAAAGGATCTATATTTGGAAATTTCTGGGAGAGTGGAACAGGATGCTTTTTCCGCATGCTATTAAGATATCTTTTAGCTTTCTCATTTCGAATCTGTAATAAAATCAATACTTAAGAATTTACGTATACACAAGAGGACAGAGGTTGTAAAATGAAGCTTCAATTTACAATAAACCATAAGTTGTATCTTAAAAACATAATAGTGGAAGAACTTTTCAGAAACACTAGAAATTCAACATTAATCTGACTACACCATGTCACAACATGCATATTGATTTCAGAAAACTGCAGAGTAGATTATGATATACTAACTCTCGCAATGGACTCGGGAGGAGGAGTACCGAGCAAATCCGTCATGAGATCCAATTGGTGCACCACATTTTTTCCAGGAAACAATGGCCTCCCAATAAGCATTTCTGCAAATATGCATCCAATGCTCCAAATATCAATTCCAGGGGTATACTGCATAAGAGAAAAAGTATAAATTACATAATATTTCAATACATCAAGTGTAGTTAACTTTTGAGAAAGAAACTTACTTTTGAGAAAAAAGAACCGCATAGTTCAGGTGCACGGTACCACCGAGTTGCAACATAGTCCTTAGTAAAAGCAAGTAAAATAAGTCAGCACACGGGTTATAGTGGCCGCTAGATTGCAATTTGTAGGTTCCAATTGAAACTGATCAACATGGTTGCAGATTAGAGTACTTACAGTCCAGAAGATAGCAGATGGAGCATCATTAAATGAAACTCTAGCAAGTCCAAAATCACATATCTTCAATTTGCAATCAGCATTAGCAAGAATATTTTTCGGCTTCAAATCACGGTGAAACACATTCGCTGCAAGGAAACAAATGCAATACATCAGTATTTTATTGTAACTATATAACCCTGTGAAAAAATGAAGTAGCCGGTTATAAGAAACCTGTATGTATAAACTTGAGACCGCGGAGAAGCTGGTACAAGAAAAACTGATGATGCTCCGGCGTAAGATCATCATTGGCCTTAATTACTTGATGCAGATCAGATTCCATCAACTCAAACACAACATAAACATCCTTGAACTCGCGTCGGGACGGAGGAAGCATAATATGCCTAATTTCTACAATATCAGGATGTCGAAGCAAACGCAAGAGCTTAATCTCTCTTAGGATTCGCGTCGCATCTGATACATGCTCGAAAACATCATGAATCTTCTTAATTGCAACTTTTTCACCAGTGTGAATGTCAATCGCAGAACAGACTACACCGTAACTTCCTTTTCCAATAATTTCCTGGACCTGGTATTGACTCGCCTCACCATACTCAGTAAAAAACTCAGTCTCCGGCGCACCCTGAGAGAAGAACGCAACAATAAGATTCAATAAACGATAATAAGATAACAGAAAACAACAATAAATAAGTTTTAAAATAAATAAAAATTAAAAATGAAAAGGAATAGTACCTTTTTGTTTGGATCCATGGAAGGAGGGAAGAGAGATTGAACAGGAACTTTGATGTTGAAGAGAGATGAAGTAGGAAGAGGAGGAGGAGGAGTGTGATGATCGTGATTGTTAGTGGTTGGAATAATGGCCAACTGAGAGCGTAAATCTTTCACGAAGACGCAGTCGTTATCATCGTCGTCGTTGTGGTGGTGGTGGTGGTGTTTGGTGGTTGTAGATCGTCGTTGAAACAAACGACGGAGCCCATCGGCGATCGTTCCTCCGCCACCCATCTAGTGTTACATTTACCATTCAATCAATTTTCTTCTTCTTAGTTCTTCAGCTTTTGACTCTCTCTGTCACTGTCTCTATTATATGCAATAATTTCTTTTTTTAATTTATTAAATATTAAATATTGATTGATGAGATGAGAGTGGGAGAGAAAAAGGGGGGAAATTGAAATTGGAGATTTTTTTGTTGGCTTTTTTGGATCTTATCCCTATTAATATCTTATACTAGAAGAGAGTTAGTTTAGTTGCATGTTTGTAATTAACTTTATTACTACTTGCTTTTAGTTTGTGGTTTTTCTTTTTTTCTTCCAGCTTCAACCTTGCTGTACAGTCAACTCAACTCGGTTTCGTTTCTCATTATTTATTACCTGTTAATTAATTGTCTATTTCCATTTTTATATAACTTCAAATATCTTTAACAAATTTAGTTTTAATATGTGTTTGATTCAGCCATGGAAAAACGACTTTCCATTCATTTATTTTGTGAAATTGATTTTAGGTTTTAAAAAAAAAATCGTCTTGTTTGAATAAAGTC